CCTCCTCCTCCTCCTCCTCCTCCTCTTCCTCCTCCTCATCCTCCTCCTCCTTTTCCTCCTCCTCTTCCTCCTCCTCCTTTGGTTTACATTGGGCCCTGCGTTGTTGATCCTCCTCCTCGTCTCCTCCTCCTCCTCCTTCTCCTCCTCCTCCCACTCCTCCCCCCGCCGTTCTCTCAAGCATCCTGTCTCGGGGGAATGGACGCATGTTCTTTTTTCTGCGGGTCAGTTCGCCCTGAGTCTAGCCCTCCCTCGCCTCCACGTGGCGCTTGAGGGGCGCCCAGCCTCTTGGCCGCGTCGCCAGTCGTTCTGGGTGGCCAATTGGGTACTCACGTCTTCAAGGCCGTGGACAAAATGCGTGGGGTGCAAAGCGTGTGCGTACAATGACATTCTGCAGAGTCAAGGTATCCGCTGTGCACGGTTTTCTCGATTCGCTCGATTGTACAAGCCCAAGGTCAATAATGACAGTGGTCATGGCAATGCTGCTGGCAACCATTTTGCACTCGCTGAGCAGCCACCGTCTGGCAATGGCTCGAAGAAGGGCAAGGGCATCAAGGCGTCCGCTCGCAGCACGGCTTCTTCGGAGGCAACTGACCGGGTCAAGAACATGCTCACGGAGTTGGCAGCCACAGAAATCAATATGGAGCTCAAGAAAAAGCTAGTGCATCAGCTCTCGGAGGTCAACGCGTTGCCGTCTGCACCACGGATATCCGCCGAGGACTGACGAGAGAGATTTCAGCCTTCAAGGGCATCAGCATGAGGCATAGACAGGCAGTTGATCAGGTCATTGGGTGCAAGCAGTCTCTGGCCTAGGCCGAGGAGAAGAGGCCGCATTGGCCGAGGAGCTTGTGGACGCGGAGATCGCCGAGCGCTTGGCGGCCAAAGCCCTCGCTCGCGAAGCAGGAGTTGGGCTAGCAGAGCGCGGTGCCGCGGCTGATGGGTCAATGAAGACCTCGGATCTCACGTGGGATGAGGAGTCTTTCAGGAACATCCGAAGGTGAAGCTGAAGAGAAAGAGGAGTTGACCAAGTTGGAGCAGTCTTTGAAAGGCGGCTCGAGATCAACTCGCCACGAAAAGGCAGTGAGGCTGAGAAGCGGGAGCTCCGGACGTTGCAGATGCAGCCATGCGAAGAAGCGCAAGGCGGCACAAGGTGGACCTGCTGCACCCGATGCAGCAGGACAGGCTTTGGCGCCGACGGCGGCATCGGCGAGCAGCGCCGACAGCAAGGGGCCGGGGCGCCGAGTCTTCAGGTGGAGGTGCCGCGCCGTCGCAGGCCCACGTCGAGAGGGAGGCGGCGGCCAGGCTTTCCGAGACCAATCTCGCCGCGCGCGCGGCGCAGGAGGCCGCGGCTGCCGCGCCCGCGCCCGCGCGAGGCCAGGGCGGCCAGCCCAGGGCCGACAGCCGGCCCGCATCAACAGGCAGCCACCAGCGCGGACTTCAGCGCCGCCAGCCCCCTCGGCACCTTCAGGGCTTCATCTTCTGAGGGCTTTCATCGACCCCGGGCCCGGGCGAGTTTTCGAGAGCTCACGCGCGTTCGTTTTGGCAGTCTTATTTGTTTAGGGCCTCTCGCGCGGGATTTTCTCGCGCGACTGATTTCATCGCATGGCCGTGGCAGAGTTTCACATTCCAGCTTCTAAGGGTGGGCACCTGGGCCAGCAAGACTTGCCAGGCGCGGTTCGAAGTGCCTCTCAATTCAGCCAGACTTAACGCAGAGGTTTTACGTGAGCTCCAACGAGGGAGGGGGCTCTTCCTTTCTCGAGGGCACTTGCAGACTGTTCGGACCTCCCTCCCGGCAGATGATGGGCCTCATTGCGCTTGTGCCAGGGGGGGGGTCAGTTCTTGTTTGAAAGAAAAATTGCGATGCGCCAGCAGGGGTACTCAGTCGTTATCATTGTCTTGTGCGGCGTGGCCTCTCAGGGCTTCGCGAGCGACGGTGCGCGACGCGTGGTGCGCCTAGGCACTTGCGTCTCACTTCTTCAGTTGCCATGGGCCGTCGTAGCTGACTTCGTCATATCTCCAGTCGAGCTTGCACGGCGTGGTCTTCTAGACCAGGCGCACGGCGTCGGGGTGCCCTTGCGCGCGCGAGCACGCGCGCGTTATTGGCGCGAGGCAGTCGCTCGTGGATCATGCTGCATCGAGTCGCCCAGCGCGTCCATGCGTTGAGGCTGTCGAGGCCTTCGTGGAGGTGCCGTGGGGCGCGCGTTGCGGTTTGACCTTGCACCTTCGCACTTCGGGAAAGCAGCGCATCGCCCGCCCCCCGCGCGTTCCTCGCGCCCTCCCGCAGGCCCATGGGCCGAGCTCGCAGCCTCAACCTCGCGGCAAATCTCAGCGGGCGAAACGCCGGGGTCTTGGGGCTCGCACGCAGTCGACTTGCAGATTCGAGTCGGCGCGCGAGATTTTCACAGGGCGCGTTTTCGGCGCCTCCGAAGGGCCCGCCCTTGTTAGTCAACTGGGGCCCACCGTCGAGGACACCGGCCGCCCCTGCAGTTTTCGGAGCAGGCCCCCCCCGCAGAGGAGGCCCCATGGGCCGACGAGCCCAACTTTACATCCAGCGCTGCTAGGGCCCCGCCAGGCATGAGCCCCACGGAAAACATGCAGCCGCCTCCCAGCATTAGCTTTGACACTCCAGGGGCCGTCCAAGCGTCGCCTTCGCCGTCTCCGTCTTCTTTTCCATCCTTCTGCGCCCTGATGGGGGCTGGCAAGAGCAGCGTGAGAAGGCGGGCTATCTTCTGCGCGTTATTGGCGATGCGCGGCCGCCAGCGCCTACCCCGCCTTTGTCTGACGCTGTGGCAGGATGGTGCTCTAGGCTTCGCGCCCTCCGTCTACGCTTGCATCGGGGTTCTTTTCGATTCCATATCATTCTTGATTCTTGTCGACGCCTACTGGGAGATCTTCTAGGTGGGCTTGTCATTCCTTCTTTCAAAGGGGGCCCCGCCTTGGATTCCTGGCTGTCTCAGTTGCGTGGTCTCGGGAATATTGGGCGCGGGGCTCTGGTGGCCTGGATGGATCTCTCGGAAATGGCTTCCACAAGAACTCGGGGTAGGGCTGTTCAGGCTTCCCTGCGACGGCTCGAGGGCTGGATCGCGCGGGGGAACTTTCTCGGGGCGGTCTTTACCTTTCTGCGCGGGGCACTGCGAGCTGCCGATGAACGCGCCATAGGAGGCGCCGGGTTCCCAGACCCCCGACGTCATGATTTTTTCATGACGTCGACCCCCCGAGGTCTCGACCCCTTCCCCGGGACCGGTTTTTCGTCCTGAATCGTTTTTTGACGCTCCCGAGGCCCGGTGAGGGCCCCCAGAGGCCGAAAATTAGGAAAAACCTCCCGTCGTGATTTTTTCATTACTCGAGGGGGTCTGGGTTCTTCGACCCCAGGGACATCCTGGATTCCAAGGTCGAGCCTTGCCAGCGGCCGCGGCCCGCCGAGGCGCTCGACCTTGAAGGTCTCGAGGCCCTCTTCGCCAGTGCCAAGGCGGCCGCGGAGTTCGCCCCGCTGCCGCCGCTGCAGATCGAGGGCGCCAGGATCGGGGGAGCGTAAGACCCGGGTTTGCCGGGACTCGGGTTCGCCATCGTTTTTTGACGACCGCGACTCGGATTTTGACGAGGAGGAGTTTTGTGGGATGTCTGCAGCGGGAGGCCTCGTCAAAATGCAGGCTCGGCCTCGTCATTTTTTTGACGACCTCGTCGGGGATTTCCGAGTCCCCCGTACCCAGGTCTTACGTCTCCCCGACAGGAGGGCTGCAAGGAGGACGGAAGAGAAGACGGGGATGAGCATCCATCGCTTGTCCCCGCTCCACTTCGAGCGCCTGCCTGGTGCCCCTGCGGAGCTCGCGCAGGTCTGCGCTGAGATAGAGGGGCTCATGACTCGGCTGCGGCGGACTCTCATTCTTTCGGGGGAGCTTTCAGCTAAAAAAGAACAGAGGGGGGGCAGAGTTATAGGTTTGATTGCCATGCTGCCGAGAATCTGGGGCTTAGCTCGCGAGTCTCACGCTCGCGATTGGTCGGCGAGTCTCACGTCGGAGCGGGGCGCTGCCATCGCGGGCAACAGTGCGCTTCGGGAAGCATATTTTCGGGCCCTGGATCCCGAGGTCGCCGTCGAGTTGGGGGCTACTGTCGGGCGAACCATCCTGGACATGAGGAGTTGTTGTGATCATATACCATGGCCAACGTATTTCGGCTTCTGCGCCCTGGCTACCCACTGGCGTTGCTTTTCCATGCTTTTCCTGGAATTGCAGGTTTGTTTAGCCCCGCTGGTTTTCCGCAGCTGGGGGGCCATTCGTTGCCCACGCAGCCCCCTGGAAGTATTGTTTACACATTGCACAGTGGATCATGCGATGCTCGGTGTTGCACCGACCTCGTGCTCGGGGGGCTGACCGTCGCCCCGCGCATGAATGGGCGTCTGTGGATAGACGATCTCGACGGCGCAGTTGGATGCTCTAAGAGTTTCGCGGGGGACCAGCTGCAGTCCCGCATCGAGGGCGCCCGCATTGTTTCCGGGAGGAACCTTTTCAGCTTGCCGAGAAAAGCGCTGTGTTCTGCTCAGATCATAGGACACCCAAGGATGACTCCAAGTCTCTCAAGAAGCAGGGTCTATCCGTCCAGCCCGTATTCCAGGCCGCGTATCTATGAATCGATCAAGCGGTCGGCAGGCGTCTTGCAAGGGCAACTAGGGGGCATAGGGCAATCAAGGGCAACGAGCAGAACGCCAAATTCAGGGGCTTCGCGAGGGCTTCCAAGAGGGACTTGGCCACCGAGAAGGTCGAACTCGGGGGTCCTCAAGCCGCCTCTACGTGCGAAATTCAGATCCATGGCGCATTTGGGGCTTAGCTTCTCAATCTTCGGATGCGTCTTTAAATTATCTCTTGGGGCGGCGAAAAAGGGCCGGCGCCCCGCCGCCTCGCTTGATCTTAGGACCCCCCCCGGCCATGACCCTGGGATGAGGATCGCCGCGCCATGCGTTCGTGAATGGCTCAGGATCTGGATTCACTCACAGTAAATATAGGCCAGACGTTCAGGGTGTTTGTGTCCAGAATACCTCCACACTTGCAACAGTTGCATCCGTCTTCCTATGCTCGACATGTCAGGGGCCCCGATTTCTGCCACCATCGCGCAGCTTTTGGAGGTCGGATGGGCCCCGCGTGCACCCGATGCTTGGGATGTCCCGCTTGCAAAGGATTGGTCGAGCAGTCTGGATTGTTCGCGGTGATCAGCTTGTCGTCATAGACCAGGCGCCTGATATTTTGCCAGTGTCCGCCGCCGACCGGCAGCTCTCTGGCGCCAGGCTGCAGGTGATTTTTCAGGAGAGGGCATGCGGGCCGGCGACAGCAAAGACTCACTGTCCTTGTGCTGCGCCAGTTTCAGCGGGCGCCGAAGGAGGCAGTTGGCAGATGTCCTCCTTAACATTGCTGTTCGGGGGATCGCGTTTTCAATCGCGCAGAAGGATCAAGGTCTCATATACAATGATTTGCGCGGTTGTTGAGGAGGGGCCCGCGCAGACCCTGCACCGTTATTATTTCTGCAGGTGTCATTCGGCGCACGTTATATACAGGTAAATGACAGTTGATTTCCTTGCGCAGTCAGGAAACCACACAGCGGGAGCAGTCAGCTTGTTCCTGGTTTCGGGGCCACACCCTCGCCCCCCAGGTCCATGTCGACCCCCCTGCTTCGAGCGAGTCCTGAGAGATTTCGGTTTGAGTCTCTGCAGCCTGCGTGCCTCGGGGTCGGGGCGATGGGTGCACCCGTTTTCGTTTTCGGGGGTGCGTCTTGGGATCTTGGTTCCAAAATCATTCAGTTTCGACGTGTTGTTGTCGCTGTTGTTACCAGTCCCTTGTATTATCATGACACTGCGGGCCGCAGCATGGTTGCGCCTTTGGTCGGGCCTCGCCAATATGTTTCGACAGGGGGGTTCTCGGCTTGGAGATGTTCATCATATTTACCTCTGGGCCTGTAATGTATGTTTCAGATAACGAGTCCGTGGTGGATGGGTGGTGTTCCAAACGA